GGTACAGAAAGAGGTTCCTGTTAGATTGCATTCAAGAAAATTAGCTATACAATTTTCTTATAAGCTAAAGTAAGCAAATCTTGTTTAGCTGAGCATTTGATTATATTAAAAGAGAGAGGTCACATTGTCAACAATTTTTCAAAAACCTCTGCGTATCTGACATCTTGACAGAAGCTTGTCACGTGGGCAAATCATTTGCATAGATTCTGCATTCGGGGTCCCGAATGACCTAATTTTTTCCTCAAATAAAGGTCATACACGAATTAAGCTCACCAAATTGCCTGAGTGTACCAAGTTTTGTCCACTTGAGACAAAGACTAACGAAAACTGATATCTTGCACTATATATATATATATATATATATATAACGTGAGACGTGGTCATTGTCTCGTTTAGACCAGCTGGGGGAAAAAATAAAGCTTCCGCCTTTTGTTGGGTACTTCGACAAAATTTGAAGCAAAGAGGACTCTTTATACTTTATTAATCTCTAGCTTTCAATGGACTTTGCCATCTTCATCAGGAGCTGCAATTACATTGAAAAGAAATAGCAACTATTGTGCAAAATGATTATAAATTAACTTATATTCGTATGTGAGATTGTTGCTAAATGTTATTAACGTTTTGGTTGAGGGAAACCCAGCAACCTGGTGACTACTTTATACATGGTACATTCGCCAAATTAATATAAACTACACACAGCTGTATGTCAGGAACAAATTAAAATGGATGAAAATATTTAAAACAAAAGTTAAAATTACATCTTGAACCCACCTGATGCTGCACGAAATGGTGGGCACAGGATCACAAGTAGGATGAAACATTTGACAGGTGACAGAAGGTTGGTGGTGTCAGTGTCGATGGATGGAACGAAATTTTTTTTTGAAAAATATGTGCTCTATTGCCAAATCACTTCAGATGGTGTTATTTATCAAGATTAAATAAGAACCTGTCAACAAACCAGAGGCAGTTGAACAAACTATATTGTTGATGAGATGGACAATTGAGTTCAACAAATATTATTTTATTATGAGAAAAACCAATTATTCAAATTTGAATGGAGAGGAAATTTTGGAGGGAAAGGGTGGAATAGACCAAAAAACCGATTCCATTTATGGTTGTGAAAAGTAATTTGGAGAGATATGTACGTGCTCCAACTTCTCGCAGTTTAGCAAATATGAGTAAATGATGCTCAGTTGCTTAACATCTGTCTGCTTATTTATACAGTTGTCGTCCATGAAAATGTGGGACATTTCCAGGAATAAACGTTTGGATAGGTGTTTTTCTCTATCAAGAGCTTTGATGCCTGTATAGTCCATAGAGTGCCCTGTTGTATTGACATGAGATGCCAGAGCACATTTCTCGGGATGAAGCCTAGAATCACTTCTGTATGATGAAATCCTTTTTTTTAGAGATCTAGAGGTCTGACCTATGTATATTTGGTTGCAATTATTGCAATTGATAGAGTAACTGTGTTGGTTAAGCCAAGCAGAGGAACTCTGTCTTTCATCTTTAAAAAAATACAGTTTATAGTGAGGACGGATTTGCAAGCATTCCATCCATCGACACTGACACCACCATCCTTCTGACACCTGTCAAATGTTTCATCCTACTTGTGATCCTGTGCTTACCATTTTGTGCAGCATCAGGTGGTTCAAGATGTAATTTTAACTTTCGTTTTAAATATTTTACATTTTAATTTGTTCCTGACATACAGCTGTGTGTAGTTTATATTAATGTTGACGAATGTACCATGTATCCAGCATTCACCAGGTTACTGGATGTTTCCCTCAACCAAAACGTTAATAACATTTAGCAACAATCTCACACACGACTGTAAGGTAATTTATAATCATTTTGCACAATAGTTGCTATTTCTTCTCAATGTTATTGCAGCTCCTGTTGAAGATGGCAAAGTCCATTGAAAGCTACAGATTAATAAAGTATAAAGAGTATTATACTTTGCTTGAATTTTGTCGAAGTACCCAACAAAAGGCGGAAGCTTTATTTTTTCACCTATATATATATATATGTATATATGTACATATACTGTACTTAGGTAAAAGTTGTGCCACTTGAGAAAAATTGCAAAAATATTACAAACACGTTCTCCTAGAGAAAAAACTTGTCTTGCAAAAATAATGGCGCTTCCACTTTTAATTGCAAAATATACAGCTGCCTCGAAGTTTCTGCCTAAAAGAATCCCTAGAACAAATTTGTGTGGCCAATAAAACTACATGTATTGGCAGATCTTCTTTCCTAAAATGTTTACCATATTAATAGAAGATATATCAATAATGGTTGACAGTCTGAATGATCGGGGAAGAGTCAAATGTGACTCATAACACATTCAAGCGGCTGTAACCAGCCAGGTGAAGGCTATTCCAGTATCGGGTTTCCAGCACTGCTATGAGGAGTGGAAGAACAGACTCCACCGCTGTGTGGCTTCAGTAAGAAGTTATTTTGAGGGTGGCAATATAAAGTTGTAACTATGTTTTAATAAAAAAATTAAAAAAGATAAGTCTCATCACTCAATTTACAGACCTCGTACACTTGTAGTAATGGCTGGCGAAAATTGAATTTTGACCTCACGAACCTCCTATACAGGGTCCCGAAAAAAGTGTGCAATATTCTACCAGCGGTTTCTAGAGCTTAAAATAGGAAGAAAAGTTTATATAAACATAGATCGACAAACGTCCCCTAAGGGCGCTACGGTCTTTTAAAGGGGCTCCCCTGAAGACGGTTTTTCCTTAATACTTCCGAAACGTGTTCAGATAAAGACATAAAATTTGGTATTCTAGCCTAGTTTTTTATGCTGGATTTAAAAATATTAACAATTTTAGACAGTTTTGTTTGGAAGCGTATGTAACAGGGACGGACTCAGGTTATTTTAGCCCCAAAATTTTTGTGTGATTCTATTTTTGAAGTTCGATTTTAGAATTTGAAAATCTAGGGTTTTCTACATAAAAAAGGTACTCTAATTGAATACTGCGAATTTAAATGAATTGTTGATTATACTCGTAAATAGTTAGCCATGACTGCAAACAAAAGTTGTTTTGATTTGTTATGACTTATTTTGACGTTAAGCTGACATTGTTAGTAGTGGAAAATTAATAGATTTAAATCAAAATTTTTATTAGATCGATTTAAAATGCCAAGATTTACAGACAGAAAACTGACTGACATGCATTTTGTGTACGGGTTTTGCAATGTCAGTTCATTGGCAGCCGTAAGAGAATATCAAAGAAGATTTCCAAATCGCATAGTACCTGGACGTCGAATTTTTACTGATATTCACCGGAATTTGTCAAACCATGGAAGTTTTCAGCGCATGCAGGGTTCAGGAATGGCCACTGGGAAATCATCGTATAGATATTGCTTTAAATATCTTTGAAAATAATCCGCAAATAAGCATACGAAATGTTTCAGAAATTATGGATATACCTCGATCAATAGTAAGCAAAATTTATGAATACTTATTTGATAGTTATCCTAAAAATAATAATTTTAGATAGGAAGAATGATAAGAATGCAAGGATTACATCCTTATCATTTTAAACGGGTGCAGCATTTAACGGAGCCAGATTTTTTACCACGAATCGAGTTTTGCCAGTGGATATTAGCGAATGAAAACACTATTCCTAGAATATTATGGTTGGATGACTCAATATTCACTAGGAATGGTGCTTTTAATTTCCATAACATGCATCACTGGTCAGATGAGAATCCAAAAGTTGTTCGCCGTACAAATTTCCAACATAGATTTTCCTTGAACTTATGGGCAGGAGTAATTGGGGATCAAGTAATTGGGCCTATTGTACTTCCCAATCGTCTTAATTCAGAGGTGTATCTGAACTTTCTTCAGAATGAGCTCATGGATATAATACCATTGGATGTGCGCCAGCAGTTTCAAGAAAATATGTTTTTTCAACATGATGGCGCCCCTGCAGATTTTGGACGCAATGTTCGAAATTGGTTGAATGTCAATGTTCCAGACAAGTGGTTAGGCCGAGGAGGTCCTATAGCGTGGCCGCCACGTTCACCTGACCTAAATCCATTGGATTTCTATTTTTGGGGGTCATCAAAAGACCTAGTTTACTCGACTGAAGTAAATACTCAAGAAGATTTACTTCAAAGAATCCATCAGGCTGCAAATGAAGTAAGAAGAAAAAGGTTTTCCGCCTTTCGGGCTACGCAATCATTAGTTCGTCGAGCAAGACTGTATCCAACAAAATGGGAATTTATTTGAACAATTATTGTAAAGCTAGTTTTAAGTGTATCCAACTGTATGTCTTCTTTTTTAAACAAATTTCAATTTCGTTCGTAGAAAAAAATTATTTCTTTTGTTTTTGCCTAAATGTCAGTTATGTTGCAATAGAATATGTATTTATGTAATATTTACCAATTATTAAATTAGTTTTTTCGTTGCCATTGATAATTATTCAAGAATTCATTTAAATTCGCAGTACATGTGACTAACTCTTTAGTTTGATTTTATTCAAAAATGGCACAATTTATTGATATTCATTAAGAGTACTTTTTTTATGTAGAAAACCCAGATTTTCGAATTCTAAAATTGAATTTCAAAAATAGAATCACACAAAAATTTTGGGGCTAAAGTAACCTGAGTCCGTCACTGTTACATACGCTTCCAAACAAAACTGTCTAAAATTGTTAGAATTTTTAAATCCAGCATAAAAAACTAGACTAGATTACCAAATTTTATGTCTTTATCTCAACACGATTCGGATATATTAAGGAAAAACCATCTTCAGGGGAGCCCCTTTAAAAGACCGTAGCGTCCTTAGGGGACGTTTGTCGACCTATGTTTACATAAACTTTTCATCCTATTATAAGCTCGAGAAACCGCTGCGCTGGTAGAATATTGCACACTTTTTTCGGGACACCCTGTGTATATATACACTTGTTTTCCTATTGCAAAGTATACAGCTACTTGGAAGTATCAGCCTGAAACAATCCCTAGATTCCTAGCCTAGCAAAAAATGTCTGATCAGTTTGATAATCTTAATGGACTTGAACGAGCTATACCAACTTATGTATATACTAAATGGCATGTTAAGAAAAACCTAAAACGAAAATGTTAATCCTCCACGTTCTTGCCCGCCCTAGCACAGCGATGCAAATACAAGGGGTAATTGAATATTTATAAGTCCCGAGCTTCGAGACTTGAATTGCATGTACATCCAGCCTTCGAACGCAACCGTCAACTTTGACTGTATACTCAACACGGACGAAAGCCAATATAGAGCATGAGATGTCCTTTTAATGAGGACGGGTTACAATGGAAACATTGTCATCGCGTTACAATGTACTGAGCTAGGAGATGATGTACAGATATTTGACAGAGTTTGCTTTTCCAAAGGAATTCACTACATAATTTCATTTTCGAGCTACTTGACTTGAATTCAGTTAAAATCAAATCAAATATTAGATATTAGCAATGTAAATCAAGTCGAGCAGTTGTTCCGTCAAGTAGATACTCAAAAATTCAAGTAGTCTTGATACTACTTGATGATAATGTAAATACTAGTAGATTATACAGGGTGTCCCAGAATATGTGAATCAAATTGCAATGGGAGATACCTTAGATAATGACCTCTCAATTACGGTACAGACCTGACGAAAAAAAAAAAAACGTGTAACCGTTGCGTTAAAACAAAAAATCCGTTTTTTGCAAAAGTATGACTTTCGTCAAACTTTCGACGACAGGTTTTTAGGTTTTATTTTTATTGTTTTTTCACTATTATTATTAGCGAATGATTGAAGCATGAAACTACAAACAGTCATGTAATTTTGAAATCGCAGCGCTATTTTGGAATTTTTTTTCTGCATCAAAAAGTTTCTTATAAGTTCGACTAACAGTGGTATAAGAAAAATGTATGGGACTTGTTTGGCAAACCTCTCCGAAAAATAGCCCAGTTAATGAAGATTCGAAAATGGTACAGATCAGGTAATTCTCCTCAACAGAGTAGGAGAATAAAAATTCTTGAGTGCAAGTGCGAAATTGGTAAAATTTCAAAATTACAATTTTTAAATCATAATTGGTTTTCACGTTGATCGAATGTTCAAACTATTGTTACACAGCTCAATTCTTGTTTAAAAAGTATAGGAATCAAAAACTGGTGTTTCAATGTAAGGTAAACTTAAGAAAACACAGAAAAGTACTTTCAATTTTCAACTTTAATCAACCAAAAACATCAATAAAGAAGTAACCAATTACGATTCTCATAAAAGATGTTCAAAGTGTCTGCCACCAGTATGAATGCACAATGCACATCTTCTCAAAAAATTTAGTTTTAGGCGCCGCAAGCTCATAACAGAAATTTGTTGTGCAGCCTGGTTAATACGCTCTCTTAATTTTTCCAGGGATCCAATCGGTGTGTTCGGTCGCGAATAAATTTTATCTTTGAGGCAACCCCAATAAAAGAAATCTAGAAGGTTTAGGTCTGGCGATCTTGGTGGCCATAGAATTGGCCCCAGACGGCCAATCCACCGCCTAGGAAAAGCTTCATTAAGGTAGGCCCTCACTTCACGTGCAAAATGGGCTGGGCATCCGTCATTTTGTAGCCACATTGTTTCTATTGAATCCTCTGGTTCTTCTGCTAAAAGCCTCGGCAATGTGTCTCTCAATTCTGCCGTTAAAAATCCCAGTCCATAAATTGATTTTGAACGGGTACTGAGAACGGTCCTCTCTTATTAAATGAGGGTTTGATATTTGCCAGCTATGTAGATTGTGGAGATTTGAGTATCCATCTTTCTTACAGGTGGATTCGTCACTCCACAAAACTCGATTAAAAAAGTTGGGGTCTTCTCGGCTTAGCTCGATCATTTTTCGGCAAAATTGTACACGCGGTGCATAACCTCTATTTAAAAGAGACTGCACTTTTTGCACGTGATACGGATGGTATCTTAACGTTTGCAGTATTCGATGTGCCGATGATCTTGGAATGCCAGTTCTTCGTTCAATAGCGCGCAGCGACGTCGACGGATCGGTTGTTACGTGCTCTACATCAACATCGTCGTTATGTCTCCGAGGTATTCCTTCAGTACGAGGACCACCAGGAAATCGACCCTGTGAGTAAGCGTTGTGTACTCTTAAAAATACTCCATAAGCTGGGTGCTGACGGTTCGGATACCGCTCAGCGTAAATCCTGGCAGCTTCCCTTGCAGAATAACTTGCTCCACCTCTAGTGTTAACAAGATGTATGTCAGCATACTCGCTTGCCGTGTAACAATGTTCATCTGGTCGTCGATTAGCCATAATGTTCAGAAAATCAATTTCCACAGTAGCGCCAAGTCGTTGAGATTCATCAAATCCGAATCACGAGCAAAAAATGTTCAAAGTCTACAGTAGAGTCAAGATCGTAACAGTTAAATCACAGGAGACATTAGAACACAGGTGTAGCACAGAGCGTCAAACGTCGTACTGAATAAAAAGGATGAGAGTGAGATCAGCATCGCGCCGTCGCGGGGGGCCCTGTTCCCTCAACATCACTAATAACACAAAACGCTAGAGTGAGGCAGTATTGTTATCGCGATCCAGTTTTTACCTGCGCTGCCTGCCCCTGCCCCCTTCTTAAATTCTGAGAATGAGTGCAACAACACAAATAATTTTAGCCGGCCTTGAGCGAGCTAGCATGTTTTTGTTCAGTCTACCGGACATTGAAACAACTTTTTGATGCCGATTCTAAGGTTTCACTCAATGGTTTGAACGTACAGGCAATTATGATTTAAAAATTGTAATTTTGAAATTTGACCAATTTCGCCCTTGCACTGGGCTATTTTTCGGAGAGGTTTGCCAAACAAGTCCCATACATTTTCTTATACCACTGTTAGTCGAACTTACAAGAAACTTTTTGATGCAGAAAAAAAATTCCAAAATAGCGCTGCGATTTCAAAATTACACGACTTTTAGAATAAAACTGTTTGTAGTTTCATGCTTCAATCATTCGCTAATAATAATAGTGAAAAAAAATGAAAATAAACTCTAAACGCGGCACCTGTCGTCGAAAGTTTGACGAAAGTCATACTTTTTCAAAAAAACTGATTTTTTGTTGTAACGCAAAGGTTACAATTTGATTCACATATTCTGGGACACCCTGTACATACAATACATATTTAAGAGTGATAAAACTGTAAACTCAAATATGAGAAAACATTTCTTCATCAGCTCATACAAAAAAAATGAAACATTCGGAATCAGCTTTTCATTCGCTAACTTCAACTGATTTATCGCTTAATCTGTTGCGGGGCCCCGTAATGGTCAGTGCATCCTTAGAAAATTCCCTTCCAATAGATGTCGATAAAAAATATATTGCCATTAAAACCAGATTTGAGAATACATTTTCATGCTTTTTCACCACTCGTGTTCATCTGCATTAAAATACAAAATACGGTTCATCGGTTGTACATTTGTTGGCGATTTTTTGACAGTATCCATTTCTTTACGGCACTTTTGAATTTATTTATAATACTGTTCCTCTTTATTTCTGGTGGAAGTAATTCATAAGATCTTGGAGCTAAGAATTCGTATGATCGTTGTAATATGTTTTTTATGGTAATGGTATTTGTTAGTTTCTTGTGTCGTAAGCATACGCGGTGTAATCTAATCGACCCTGTATGCTTGTCATTGGTCAATTATGTATTGTTTCGTGTATCAATTTTTGGGTTTTCTCCAGCTGATCTTGTTAGCAGATCCCCAACCTATTATACCATAATTGATGTTGGCCTAATTATGCTTAATTACTGTAGGTAATGCTTGAGGTTTCTAAATTTATAGAGAAAAAATATCATTTTTCTCACTATATGTTCTATGTGAGTGTTCCAACGAAGGTGAACTCCGTGCTTTTCAAATTCGCGCACTCCTATTGACCAGCGGGCTATAAATGCCAGGCTGTGGCAGCGAAAAGCGAATAGAAGTGCTCATGTTTCTTGAAACGGGGCGTAAATTGGATTTGAATATATTATAGATTTTTGGAGATATTTTGGTTGAAAATTGATAATTCAAATAGCGATGATTCTATCAGGAACCGATAATAACGCCAAACAAATATATATACGTCAGAAGTGAGTCTTTGAATTAGCTCAGTTGTGATTGCTTACTCTTGAAATGTCAATAAACGAAGAAAGTCAGCTTAAGTGTGATTCCATGAAATACGGAAACGCGATGGATTCAGAAATTTACGACAATTCTATTTATTTCTAAAAAAAAACAATGTTTATTTTGTCCATGTTAAGATTACATCGTGGTTGCCTAAGATATAGTAATGAAGCAAAATTGCACTCGTAAAAATCATTTAGAAAAAAATTGTTTCTGAGGTTATCGGCTCTAGGTGCAATGTGACGATATGAAGACTAGCCGAGTTATTTTCATCCAATAATAATAATAATATCAATAATAATATAAGTTTATTCACATATAAAGTATTACAGTATATTGAAAATAAATATGCATATATACGCAAATAAACTGAAATAATCCCACAGAAGAATTTAATTCTTGTGCGTGGGAAAACATTTTTCATAACAATGTTTGCTATGAACATAGTTAAATATAGTTAATACATTAACACAAAATAACCATAAAGGTAAGTGTAATAATATTATATTCAAATACTAATTTATTTTCATTTTAGTGAGTCTTTCTATTTCATGTCGATTATTATTTAACAAGAATTTTTTATTTCAATTTTGAATCTATTTTCATTTGAAATAGATTTTATATGCCTTGGTAAAAAGTTATAAAATCTAATAGAGAGGTAACTGAAGCATCTTTGACCTACATTTTTTGTTGTAAATGGTGTTATTTTAATATCCTCGACCTTGTTTCATATTTGTGGTCCAATGAAATGAGGTTTGCTTTATTTTTGAATAAATTGATTACAATATTGCAAAAGCAGAGTTGACTAAGATCGAGTAGTCTCGCTGCGGAATATAACATATCAGACGGATAATGAAGTGGCCGTTTAAAAATAATTTTAAAAATTGTTTTTGGATTATTTCTAGCATCTTAATTTGGTTGGAGAGAGCACCACCC